CAGACCCTTGATCTGCTCCCTCCTCCCTGTGGCTTCCTCTCACATATTTATACATGGCTATCATATCTCCTCTCAGCCTTCTCTTCTTCAGCCTAAACATGCCCAGCTCCTTAAGCCGCTCCTCATAGGGCTTGTTCTCCAGACCCTTGATCATTTTAGTCGCCCTCCTCTGGACACATTCCAGCTTGTCAATATCTCTCTTGAATTGTGGTGCCCAGAATTGGACACAATATTCCAGGTGTGGTCTAACCAAAGCAGAATAGAGCATGGGGAGCATGACTTCCTTAGATCTAGACACTATACTCCTATTGATACAGGCCAAAATACCATTGGCCTTTTTTGCCGCCACATCACATTCCTGGCTCATGTTTAACTTGTTGTCCACGCGGACTCCAAGATCTTTTTCACACGTACTGCTCTCGAGCCAGGCATTGTCCCCCATTCTGTATCTTTGCATTTCATTTTTTCTGCCAAAGTGGAGTCATCTTGCATTTGTCACTGTTGAACTTCATTTTGTTAGTTTTGGCCCATCTCTCTAATCTGTCAAGATCGTTTTGAATCCTGCTCCTGTCCTCTGGACTATTGGCTCTCCCTCCCAATTTGGTGTCGTCTGCAAACTTGATGATCCTGCCTTCTAGCCCTTCATCTAAGTCATTAATAAAGATGTTGAACAGGACCGGGCCCAGGGGGGAACCCTGCGGCACTCCACTTGTCACTTCTTTCCAAGATGAAGAGGAAGCATTGTGAGCACTCTCTGTGTTCGTCCACTTAACCAATTACAGATCCACCTCACCGTAGTTTTGCCTAGCCCACATTGGACTAGTTTCCTTGCCAGAAGGTCATGGGGGACCTTGTCAAAGAAGGCCTTACTGAAATCCAGGTACGCTACATCCACGGCATTCCCCGCATCTACCCAGCTTGTAGCTCTATCGAAGAAAGAGATCAGATTAGTCTGGCATGACTTGTTTTTGATAAATCCATGTTGACTATTAGCGATGGCCGCATTTGTTTCTAAGTGTATTGACAGGTGGCCTGCCCTATGAATGCAGCCAAAGGAAGCCACCTATCTGCAAAGTCCCTGGAACCTAGAACTATGAACAAACACTCAGTGCAAAACACAAAATTGGAGCCCCTGGAACACCCGTTCCAGAACACAAATATATTTTGGTTTTTTTGGCCTTTTAAATCTTTTCTGCTGTGTTTTTTGGTGTTTTTATGAGTGATGGTCACTCGTTGGCCTGATACGTGTATTGTGTCCAAATCTGGTGTCAATTCGCCCAATGGTTTTTGAGTTATGTTAATCCCACAAACGAACATGACATTTTAATTAATTATTAAATTATAATTGTAAAAAAAATTTTTGTTGGTTAAATTATATATTGGTTTTATCCTTTTTTAAATGATAGATCCAATTAGGAAACGGCATGGATAAACCAGGAACAGAAATGATTTAAGTTTTACATATAATTTAAATTATTTATTTATAATTATTAAATTATTATTTAAATTATTAAATTATTATTTAAATTATTAAATTGTAATTATTAAATTATTATTTATTGCTTAAATTATGTATTGGTTCTACCCTTATTTTTAATTATAGATCCAATTAGGAAACGACATGGATAAACCAGGAACAGAAATTATTTAAGTTTTACATATAATTTCAATTATTAAATTATAATTATTACATTATTAATTAAATTATTAATTTATTAAATTATTATAATTATTAAATTATTATTTATTCGTTAAATTATATATTGGTTCTATCCTTATTTTTAATGGTAGAACCAATTAGGAAACAACCTTGATAAACCAGAAACAGAAATGATTTTTTACATATAATTTAAATTATGATTATTAAATTATTAAATCGTTATTTACATTATTAAATTATTATTTAAGTTATTAAATTATTATTTAAATTATTAAATTATTATTTAAATTATTAAATTATTATTTGTTATTAAATTATTATTTAAATTATTAAATTATTATTTAAATTATTATTTATTAGTTAAATTATTATTATTATTAAATTATTATTTATTAGTTAAATTATATATTGGTTCTACCCTTATTTTTAATGATAGAACCAATTAGGAAACGACATGGATAACCCAGAAACAGAAATGATTTAAGTTTTACATATAATTTCAATTATTAAATTATAATTATTAAAATATTATTTACATTATTAAATTATTTTTTAATTATTAAATTATAATTATTATTAAATTATTATTTATTGGTTAAATTATATATTGGTTATACCCTTATTTTTAATGATAGATCCAATTAGGAAACGAGATTGATAAACCAGGAACAGAAATTATTTAATTTTTACATATAATTTAAATTATTAAAAATTATAATAATTAAATTATTAATTTATTACATTATTAAATTATTATTATTAAATTATTATTTATTGGTTAAATTGTGTATTGGTTCTATCATTATTTTTAATGATAGATCCAATTAGGAAACGACATGGATAAACTAGAAACAGAAATGATTTAAGTTTTACATATAAATTATAATTATTAAAGCCGCTGGGGGAGATCATCCGGAGTTTCGGGGTACGGTGTCATCTGTACGCGGATGATGTCCAACTCTGTCACTCCTTTCCACCTGCTACTAAGGAGGCTGTCCAGGTCCTGAACCGGTGCCTGGCCGCTGTGACGGTCTGGATGAGGGCGAACAAATTGAAATTGAATCCAGACAAGACAGAGGTACTCCTGGTCAGTCGCAAGGCCGAACAGGGCATAGGGTTACAGCTGTGTTGGATGGGGTTGCACTCCCCCTGAAGACGCAGGTTCGCAGCATTGGGTGGGATCATGGACTCATTGCTGAGCCTGGAACCTCAGGTCTCGACGGTGACCAGGGGAGTATTTGCACAGTTAAAGCTTGTGCACAAGCTGTGCCTGTACCTTGGGAAGTCTGACTTGTCCACGGTAGTCCATGCTCTTGTTACATCCCGTATAGACTACTGCAACACTCTCTACGTGTGGGGTTGCCTTTGAAGACTGTCGGAAGCTCCAACTAGTCCAACGCTCGGCAGCCATGATTTTAACAGGAGCGGAGCGCAGGGAGCATACAACCCCCTGTTGCGCCAACTCCACTGGCTACCGATCTGCTACCGGGCTGAATTCAAAGTGCTGGCGTTGGCCTTTAAAGCCCTAAACGGTTCCGGCCCAAGCTACCTATCTGACCGCATCTCTGCCTATGAACCCACCAGGAGTTTGAGATCTTCCGGGGAGACCCTGCTCTCGATCCCGCCTGCTTCTCAAGCTCGGCTGGCGGGGACGAGAGATAGGGCCTTCTCGGTGGTGGCTCCTCGGCTGTGGAACGCCCTTCCTACGGACATTAGACTAGCACCATCTCTAATGGTATTCCGCAAAAAGGTGAAGACCTGGATGTTTGTGCAGGCGTTTGAGTAATTTAGTGCAATCTGGTAATGGAACATAGGAATGGAACAATGGACGACGAACCTGGACTACGCTTGGATGATGAGAAGATTGGGTACGGTTGTTTTTTGTAATAATTGTGCATTGTAATTGCTTATTGGTAATTTATGGATAATGTGTTAAGTCAATTGTTATATGTTGTATGGAACCACTGCTGTTTCTACTGTTTTTACTGTTTGTGAACCGCTGTGAGTCGCCTTCGGGCTTGAGATACAGCGGTATAGAAGCAAAGTAAATACATAAATAAATAAATAAATAAATAATTTAAATTATTTACATTATTATTATTAAATTATTATATATTGGTTAAATTATGTATTGGTTCTATCATTATTTTTAAATTTAAAATTTTAAATTATAATTATTAAATTATTACTTAAATTATTAAATTATTATTTAAATTATTATTCATTTATTAAATTATTATTTAAATTATTATTCATTTATTAAATTATTATTCATTGGTTAAATTATTTGTATTGGTTCTACCCTTATTTTTAATGATAGATCCAATTAGGAATCGACATGGATAAACCAGAAACAGAAATGATTTAAGTTTTACATAGAGCTCTCTCCAAGCCGCGGATGGTGGGGTAAAGTACCCGCGGATGCGGATCCTAGAAGACAGCCACGTCGGTGTCCAATGGCGAGGCGGCGTGGGCGGGGCAATGCACCCCACCGCCCAATCAGGTTGGACCTCTGAGTGAGGGCGGAAGCGAGCCGCGCATGCGTCGTAAAGGAGCTGCAGTTCGTCTTTGCCCGGTCTGGGCGTCCAATGGCATCGGGCTCTCTTCAAGCCGCGGATGGCGGGGTAAAGCTCCCGCGGATACGGAGTCTAGCAGAGGGCCACGTCGAAGCCGCGTCGGCATCTAATGGCGAGGCGGTATGGGCGGGGCGCTGCACTCCTCCACCCAATCAGGTTGGACCTCTGAGTGAGGGCAGAAGCGAGCCGCGCATGCGTCGTAAAGGAGCTGCAGTCCGTCTTTGCCCGGTCCGGCTGTCCAATGGTGAGGCGGTATGGGCGGGGCGCTGCACTTCTCCACCCAATCAGGTTGGACCTCTGAGTGAGGGCAGAAGCGAGCCGCGCATGCGTCGTAAAGGAGCTGCAGTCCGTCTTTGCCCGGTCCGGCTGTCCAATGGTGAGGCGGTATGGGCGGGGCGCTGCACCCCTCCGCCCAATCAGGTTGGACCTCTGAGTGAGGGCAGAAGCGAGCCGCGCATGCGTCGTAAAGGAGCTGCAGTCCGTCTTTGCCCGGTCCGGCTGTCCAATGGTGAGGCGGTATGGGCGGGGCGCTGCACTTCTCCGCCCAATCAGGTTGGACCTCTGAGTGAGGGCGGAAGCGAACCGCGCATGCGTCGTACCGGAGTTGCAGCTCGTCTTTGCCCGATCCGGGCATCCAATGGCGAGGGGCGTGGGCGGGGCGTTTCACCCTGCCGCCCAATCACGCCAGGCCTCTGAGTGAGGGCGGAAGTAGGCCGCGCATGCGCAGTGTCCTGAGCTGCAAGTCCTTGTTTGCCCGGCTCGGGCATGGCGGCGGGGTGCTTGGGGGCGTGCTGGCGGGCGGCGCGGCGGGCGGGCGGCGTGGCCGGGCTGGTGCTGCTCTACTACGGCTTCTCCATCGGGATCACCTTCTACAACAAGTGGCTCATGCGCAGCTTCTCCTTCCCGCTCTTCATGACGCTGCTGCACCTCATGGTCATCTTCCTGCTCTCCGGCCTGGCGCGGAGGGGGCGGGGCCTCGGCCTAGGGGGCGGGGCCAAAGCAGGGGGAGGGGCTTCTCTGCGGGGAGGCCACGCCCCCAAGCGCGCGCCACGCCCCCTCCTGCCCTGGGATGCTTACCTGCGCCAGGTGGGGCCTGCAGGTGAGTCCAGCAAAGGTGTGGCCAACTTGGACCCATCCAGGTGTTTTGGACTACAACTCCCACAATTCCTAACAGCCGGTAGGCTGTTAGGAATTGTGGGAGTTGTAGTCCAAAACACCTGGATGGGTCCAAGTTGGTCCATACCTCGAGGGACCCTCTGCGGCCAACTTGGGCCCTCCAGGTGTTTTGGACTACAACTCCCACAATTCCTAACAGCCGGTAGGCTGTTAGGAATTGTGGGAGTTGTAGTCCAAAACACCTGGAGGGCCCAGCTTGGTCCATACCTGCCCCAACGTTGCTTCTTCCTCTCCCCAGCGCTCTCCACCGCCTTGGATGTCGGCCTCAGCAACTGGAGCTTCCTCTACATCACGGTCTCCCTGTGAGTAAGACCAAAAGGGGCCGGAGGGGCTGACCAGCCCCAAAGGGACTCCTCACCTGACCAACCCCATTGTCCCCCCTCCTCTCTCTCTCCGCAGGTACACCATGACCAAGTCCTCGGCCGTCCTCTTCATCCTCTTCTTCTCCCTCGTCTTCAGGCTGGAAGAGCCGGTAAGGGACGCCTCTCTTTGGATGACCCTCCAAAGGGAACGGTCAGCTTCTGGACATGCTATCTATTGGGCTCGGGGTCTCAAAAGGCTTTGGCCATGCATTACAATAGACACAGAGCCTCCATAAGCAATGGCCAGGCTCTGGACAGGTGCTACTTTGGACTCAGGGCCTCCAAATTTAGTATTTATTTATTTTTATTTGTTTGTTTGTTTGTGGCATTTGTAGCCCTCCTTTCTCTGCCTTGACCAGGCTCCAGCCATGCAACACAATGGACCCCGGACCTGCAAATCAATTGGCTGGGTTCTGACCATGCGTTACAAGGGACCCAAGGCCTCCGTAGGTAATGGCTGGACTCTGGACATGCACTACGTTGGACACAGGCTCCGTTGACCAGGCTCCGGCCATGCATTACAGTGGACCCAGGACCTCCAAAGGCAATGACCGGGCTCTGGCCATGCAATATATTGGACTCAGGGTCTCGAAAAGCACTGGCCAGGCTCTGGCCATACAGCACAATGGTCCCAGGGCCTGCAAAGGCAATTGACTGGGTTCTGACCATGCAACACAATGGGGTCCAAAGCCCCAAGGCATTCATTGGCCTCTGGACATGCATTACAATGGACCCAGGGCCTCCATAAGCAATGGCTGAACTCTAGACCTGCACTACATTGGACCCAGGGACTCCAAAGGCATTGACCAGGCTCCAGCCATGCAACACAATGGAATCCAAGGCCTGCAAACGCAATAGCTGGAATCTGGCCATGCAAAACAATGGAGTTCAGGGCCTCCCAAGGCAATGACTGGGCTTTGGCCATGCAACACAATAGGGTCCAAAGCCCCAAGGCATGGGCTGGGCTCTGGACATGCATTACAATGGGTCCAGGGCCTCCAAATGCAATGGCCGGGCTCTGGCCATGCAATATATTGGATCCAGGGTGTCGAAAAGCATTGGTTGGGCTCTGGCCATACAACACAGTGGGGTTCAGGGCCTGCAAAACAATTGACTGGGTTCTGACCATGCAACACAATGGTGTCCAAAGCCCCAAGGCAGTGGCTGGCCTCTGGACATGCATTACAATGGACCCAGGGCCTCCAAAGGTATTGAAAGTCTCCAGCCATGCGACCCAATGGGGTCCAGGGCCTGCAAAAGCAATAGCTGGGATCTGGCCATGCAAAACTATGGAATTTAGGGCGTCCCAAGGCAATGGCTGGGCTCTGGCCATGCAAAACAATGGGGTTCAGGGCGTCCCAAGGCAATGGCTGGGCTTCGGCCATGCAACACAACGGGGTGCAAATCCCCAAGGCATGGGCTGGGCTCTTGACATGCATTACAAAGGATCCAGGGCCTCCAAATGCAATGGCCGGGCTCTGGCCATGCTATATATTGGACTCAGGGTCTCGAAAGGCATTGGCTGGGCTCTGACCATGCAACACAATGGTCCCAGGGCCTGCAAAACAATTGACTGGGTTCTGGCCAAGCAACACAATGGGATCCAAAGCCCCGAGGCAGTGGCTGGCCTCTGGACATGCTTTACAATTGACCCAGGGCCTCCAAAGGCATTGACCAGGCTCCAGCCATGCGACCCAATGGGGTCCAGGGCCTGCAAAAGCAATGGCTGGGCTCTGGCCATACAATGCAGTGGTGGTCCAGGTTCTGCAAAGACAATTTTTGGACTCTGGCCATGAAACACAATGAGATCTATGGCCTCCAAAGGCAATGACTGGGCTTTGGCCATGCAACACAATGGGGTCCAAAGCCCCAAGACATTGGCTGGGCTCTGGCCATACATTACAATGGAATGCAAGGCCTACAAAGGCAATAGCTTGGATCTGACCATGCATTGCAATGGGTCCAGGGCATGCAAAGGCATTGGCTGGGCTTTGGCCATGCAATGCAATGGGACCCCAAGGCATTGTTTTGATTCCAGCCATCTGCCACCATGGAGTCCGGGGCTCCAAAAGCAATGGCTGAGCTCTAGACGTGCACTACAATGGGGTTCAGGGCATGCAAAGTCATTGGCTGGGTTCTGACCATGCAACACAATGGGGTTCAGGGCCTCCAAAGACAATGACTGGACTCTGGCCATGCAACACAGTGGGATTCAAAGCCCCAAGGCATTGGCCGGGCTCTGGCCATGCATTACAATGGACCCAGGGCCTCCATAGCCAATGGCTGGACTCTGGACATGTGCCACATTGGACTCGGGGCCTCCAAAGGCATTGACCAGGCTCTGGCCATGCGACACAATGGGGTCCAGGGCCTGCGAATGCAATAGCTGTGATCTGACCATGGAAAACAATGGACTCAGGGTCTCCCAAGGCCATGGCTGGACTGTGGCCATGCATTCCATTAGACTCAGGGCCTCCAAGGCATCGTTTTGACTCCAGCCATCTACCGCTATTAACTCAGGGCCTCCAAATGCATTGACTGGGTTCTGGCCATACAATGCAATGGGGTCCAGGTTCTGCAAAGACATTGGCTGGGGTCTAGCCATGCAACACAGTGGTGTCCAGAGCCCAAAGCTACATTGGCTAAAATAGACAAATCACAACAAGGTATTTGCTGGAGGTGCAGGAAACAGAAAGGGACATTTCTCCACATGTGGTGGACCTGTGTGATCATACAGGAATTTTGGGATAAGGTAATTAAGGAGACAAATAAAACGTTACATAACAAGATTTTAAAAAGCCCAGGACTGTGTCTGCTAGGTCTACAGAGAGAAAACAATAATCAAAAGGACCAAGAAATATATCAATATAGCTTTGCAGCGGCAAGATTGACCATCGCCAAAGATTGGAAAGGGGAAAAAGGTCTAACCAAAAAGGATTGGAGGGAAAGAATGCGAGAATAGATGCTAATGGCCAGACTAACTTATAACAGGAGGAATAAGAGTAATGAGGACTTTCTAGAAAAATGGAAGTTGGCCATGGCATATCTGAATAGAGAGTCAGTAATATAGAGGAGCTCCATTAGGAATTTAGGTTTACCATGAATAAGGAGAGATAAATAGGCTTAAAGGCTTCATAGTGTTTTGGTGCGGGAAGTCATGGTGAAGGGTGCACGGGTGTGGGGATGAGGGTTTAGTTTGTTAAGGATAGGGGTTTTGGGTTGAGTGTAAGGGCTGGGGTATGTGTGTAAAATGCCATGTGCTGATTTCCTGAATGTTATGAAAAAATTTAATATTAAGCTCTGACTGAAAGCAGTGGAAAACAGCCAGAAATAGCAAGTTTATGTGTATTAAGATATGTAATTGATAATAATTTGTACATAACGTCAAAATTAACTGATTGATTGAATAAGGTAGATAGGCATGTACACGTCAAAAATATTGGTACCTGATTATATTTGATTTGCCATGGTTTGCTTTTCTGTTATGTACCATAATCAAAATAAACAGTTTTAACAAAAAAACAAAAACAAAACAAAGCCCAAAGGCATTGGCTGGGCTCTGGACATGCATTACAATTGAGCCAGGGCCTCCAAAGGCATTGACCGGGCTCCGGCCATGCAACACAATGGGGTTCAGAGCCTGCAAAGGCAATAGCTGGGATCTGACCATGCAACACAATGGACTCGGCCTCCTAAGACAATGGCTGGACTGTGGCCATGCACTACATTAGACTCAGAGCCAAGGCCTCCACGGGATCATTTTGGCACCAGCCACCTACCGCTATGTACTCAGGGCCTCCAAAAGCAGTCGCTGGGCTCTGGCCATGCGATACAATGGGGTTCGAGGTCTCCAAAAGCAATGGCTGGGTTCTGGCCATGCAACACAATGAGATCTAGGGCCTCCAAAGGCAATGACTGGGCTTTGGCCATACATTACAATGGGATCCAAAGCCCCAAGGCAACGACTGGGCTCTGGACATGCATCACAATGGGCCCAGAGCCTGCAAAGGCAATACTGCGCCCGTATCTTGGGAAGCCGGACTTGGCCACGGTAGTCCACGCTCTCGTCACATCCTGCATAGATTACTGCAACGCGCTCTACGTGGGGCTGCCCCTGAAGACTGCCCGGAAGCTTCAGATGGTACAGCGCTCGGCAGCCAGGTTGTTAACGGGAGCAGCACTCAGGGAGCATACCACCCCCCTGTTGAGCCAGCTCCACTGGTTGCCAATTTGCTACCGGGCACAATTCAAGGTGCTGGCTTTAGCCTTTAAAGCCCTAAACGGTTCCGGCCCCACTTACCTCTCCGAACGCATCTCCACCTATGAACCGGCGAGGACGTTAAGATCGTCCGGGGAGGCCCTGCTCTCGGTCCCGCCGGCATCACAAGCGCGGTTGGCGGGGACGAGAGACAGGGCCTTCTCGGTGGTGGCCCCTCGGCTATGGAATGCCCTACCAGCGGACATCAGGCAGGCCCCTTCGTTGCTGGTGTTTCGGAGGAGGGTTAAGACGTGGCTCTTTGAGCAGGCGTTCGGATAGCTGTGCAATTGCAATTAAATCCAGGAAGACGGCATAACTGAACAAGGAATGGCAATGGAATGTGAGAACGGAATCTGATTTTATGTGAGGCGTTGATGTTTATATGTGTGTCGTTTGTTTATGTTTGTCTTTACATTGTTAGTGTGCACAACTTTTACTGTAAACCGCATTGAGTCGCCGGGCACGGCTGATAAATGCGGTATACAAATAGCGTAAATAAATAAATAATAAATAATAAATACCTGTGTTCTGGTCATGGACCGCAATAGGGTCCAGCGCCTCCAAAGGCAATGGCCGTGTTGGAGGAAGCAACCTTCTCAGGCCTCCTCTATTTGACGCTTGTCTGTTTTATTAATATGTCGTTTTATATCCTGAAGTGTTTGTCTTATTTGTAGTTTGCAGTTACCTCATCTCTATATACCTGAAGCAGTGGGAGGGGCTGCAGGTCTTGTGACTGACTCAGTCACGGTTTGGAATGTTCCGGTTTTAAACAGGATGCTAGTTAGAGAAGTCAGTTGTGCCTTGAGCCTGGTTAGAAGTGACAGCGTGGAGCCTTGAGTGAGCTTGCGTGCAGAAGGCTGTCGGAGTGCAGGAGAGCGATTGTGAGGAGCTACTACAACTGTTGAGGCTTGGGTTTCCTTTGAAAGCAAGCTCCTACTAAAGAGAGCTGTATAGAACAATATGGTTTATGAAGAAACCGTTAAAGATTATAAGTCAAATGATGCAGACTCTCTGAAACGTTTTGAAGTATTTAACTCTTGGCAAGAACCGTGCCTGTATCTTTAAATATGCAAAGCAAACAGTAAACAAAGCTGTTATTTCCTGCTTGCATCTTTGTCTGCTGAAAGCATCAAATAGAAGAAAAATATATGTCAAGCGATCATGCATTACCAAATAAACTCTGTTACCCCGATTAGGTTGTGATTGTTGCATTCCAGAACAGGAAAAGCCCTCTGACTTCAAATACCACACCGTTGAGTAGGAAAAACAATCCTTTTCTTGAAGATGATTAAAAAGCAGAAAAGTAAAAAACACTTTAAAGAAATAGGTAAATCCAATTAGGTAAGAAGATAAGCAGGAACAAACTAGTCCAGAGTAATAGTCCAGCAAAGTCCATGAAAGCAAAGGCAAAACTTCTCTAAGAAAATCCAAGAAACCAGGGAACGTGAATCCAAGATATAAATATAAAATCATAGAATCAAAGAATCAAAACCATGAAACAAAAGGAACTTAAACATGAATGTTCCAAGCAAGGCTTCCATGAAATAAGGACTAGATCTTGACTTGATTCCAAACAAAGCTTCATCTGACTACATATCCTGTACTTGGGACTTTTATCTCCTCGTTAGCTGATTTCGCTTTAGCTGATAATTTCTTATCTTTTTCTCTCGGAGCCTGGCAGAACACCGAAGCCACTGTTCGGCTCTTCTGTTTTGACTGATCTCCAGTCTATCTATTTGCTCATTAATTTCTGCAGCTGGGCCAGGTGCCAAGCTGTTTTCAAGATCCAAATCATGGGAACTCTCTGGTAGCAATTTAGGGAGCACACCATCATCACCACACCCCTTAGGTACATTCTCATGGGAAACTACACTTTGATCTCCTGGTCCTTCTCTGCATCAAGATCACTGACCAAACCATTGCCATTTTGAAACTCATTGACACCACTCCTCACATCCAAAGCACCCTGATCCTGAAACACAATCACAGGCTGAGCTCCAACAGTGATCCTAACAGGTCATAATCAGTTCCTCGTTGGGTTGTGATCCTAACAGGTTGTGATCCCCATCCCCAATAGACTGGGCTCTGGTTATGCACTACAGTGGACTCTGGTCCAGGGCATCATTGGGGCTTGTTGGAGTTCAGCCTGTGGTTGTGTTTCCTGATCAAGGTGCTGTGGATGTGGGAAGTGATACCAGCGAATTTCAAGATGGCAATGGTTTGGTCAATGATACTGATGCCGAGAAGGACCAGGAGACCCCTGTGCAAAGTGTAGTTTCTCATGAGAATGTCCCTGAAGCGTGTGAGGATGATAGTGTACTCCCTGCATTGTTACCAGAGGGTTCCCAGGATTTGGGGCTTGAAAACAACTGGGCACCTGGCCCAGCTGCGAGACTTAATGAGCAAATAGATAGGCGAGAGGAAATTAGTCAAAACAGACAGGCCGAACAGTGCCTGTGGTGTTCTGCCAGGCTCCGACAGAAAAAGATAAAGGGATCTCAAGTAAAGTGAAACCAATTCCTGAGTACATCAAATAGCTTAACGAGGGGATAAAAGTTCAAAGTATGGGAAATATAGTCAGATGAAGCATCATTGGAATCAAGTGTAATCTTGTCCTTGTTTCACGGAAGCTTTGCTTGGAAGATTCTTGTCTAAGTATTTCTTGTTCATGGTTTGGATTCTTGGAATGTATGAATGTCTATTCATGCCTTGTGTTGGGGTTCAGCCTCTGTGTGACCTTGTACCTGATTCTTTGATTGTATTTCCTGATGCCAATGTAGATGTCAATGTTGATTCTGAGGCCAATGTAGATGTTAATACTGATGATGGGTTGAATAGTGAAAATCCTACACCCTTGGAAAGTGAAAGTCAAAGTTCCCATGAGAACATTCATTCCGAACCGAGCGGAGAAGTTTCACTCCCTTTTTCTCCCAGCCTTAGTTCCCCAGAGAATCTGACACCTGGTCACCCTAATGAGGGAAGGAGGGGGCAGATTCGGCAGAGCAGGGGAGAAGCACAAAGTTTACAGAGGTCAGAAAGATTGAGAGAAATGCAAACAAAAACTTCAGGCGTGTCTCGTAATAGATTTCTCTCCTTTAAGAGTGTTGGGTCTGAAGATGCCTTCAGACCAGGCATCGTTCCAGTTCCAAGTGCATGCCTGTGGAGGCCTCCTGATTCAAGTGGCTGGGTTTCTCGTAGTTTCTCAAGTTGTTCCAAGTGTCGTTAGCTGGGAGCTAGCAGATTTCATGATTCCTCAAGGGTAACTCATCGTTTGCTGTGGTTTTTTATGGACTTGTTCATGGACATTGCTTGTTGCTGTTTTGCTATGGTTTTTATTTACCTCTGATTCTTCCTCTGCTTGCATTCTACGTTCTTCAATAAAAAAAGGATTGTATTCCTGCAGTCAAGTGTGGTGGATTGTTGTCAAGAGGGTCCAGTTTCCTGCTCTGGGTTGCAACACCTTGTTTTCCTGAAGTGTGGACTTTGTTTTTATGGACTTTGCTGAACTTTACCCTGGACTACTTTTGCTCCTGCTTATCTTCTTACCTAATTGGATTTACCTATTTCTTTACAGTGCTTTTTTACTTGCTGCTTTTTAAAGGATTGTTTTCCAATCATCGGTGTGGTGGGCTTTTCCTGTCCTGGAGTGCAAGAGGGCTCCAGCCCCCCTCTAATGGCGTTCTCCCCTGTTTGCTCCCCATCCAGCGTCTGGCGCAGGTGCTGGTGGTGCTGCTGATCGCGGGGGGGCTCTTCCTCTTCACCTACAAGGCCGTCCAGTTCAATGGGGAGGGCTTTGCGCTGGTGCTGGCGGCCTCCTTCCTGGGGGGCATCCGGTGGACCCTGACGCAGATGCTGCTGCAGAAGGAGGAGCTGGGTGCGTGGCCCCTGCGGGGAATGGGGCCCAAACGGAGGAGGGGGAGGGGCCCCCTGTGCCACCCCTCCTCCTTGACCACCTCCCCTTTTTTCCTCCCCCACAGGGCTCCAGAACCCCATTGACACCATGTTCCACCTGCAGCCAGCCATGTTCCTGGGGCTCTTCCCACTCTTTGCTGCGTTTGAGGGTAAGGCTTTTTTGGAACAGCTGAAGTATGATTGTGTGTGCGTTTTGTATTTCAGTTGCTGCATTTGAGGACTAATCTTTCTGGCAAACACAGCTGCAGTAGAACGATTGTGTCGCCCTATTTTGCATTCCTGTGTGAGTTTGTTGTGTTCACATCAAGGCTCCTGATGAGCAATTGCAATATATAAATACCATAATAATATACTGTATTCCGAGTAACATTGCCTTTGCAAGTAGTGGGGTGTGCATTGTGGGGTGTGGGTTGTGGGGTGAGGTAAAGCCACCTTCTCTGTACTGTAGTGTTTTCATTGTTGGAAAGAAGGCAGGCAGCCAGGAGCCACGTATACGGAAGGCTCTTGGTTGCCTCCAGGATGGGAGGCCTGGCCCTTCGGAGTCCAGTTGTTGGCTGGTTTTTAGCTTCTTTACCTTTGAAAATGTTTTGGATGGATTTTACTTGTGATTTTTTTTACTGCTGTTTGTGTTTAGTTCTGTTTTATTGTTTGTATATTTGTATATTTTAAATTGTATACTAATGTTTTTATATCAAGCTGCTTTGAGTCTCCTTTGGGGAGATAGAGCAGGGTATAAATACATATAATAATAATAATAATAATAATAATAATAATAATAATAATAATAGAAATTGAAAATTGAATTGAAAAGTCGACAAAAGATCCCAAGTGTAGACTCTACAAGGAAGCAGATGAAACAATGGATCCCATCCTCAGCTGCTGCAAGAAGATCGTGGACAGACTACAAGCAGAGGCACAACACCGTTGCTCAGATGATTCATTGGGACTTGTGCCACAAACACCATCTGCCTGTGACAAAGAACTGGTGGGATCACAAGCTGGAAAAATTTACACACAATGTACACGTCAAGCTACTCTGGGACTTCCGGATTCAGACAGAGTTTTGAAGCACAAGACTCCTGACCTCACAATCGTGTTAAAAAACGTCGGGGGTGCTTTGAATGCAATATTCCTGCTCTTGGCAGAATGGGGTTGGACTGGATGGCCCAGGAGGTCTCTTCCAACTCTTTGATTCTATGATTCTATGAAAGATCGAACTGCAGAGACTCTGGCACAAGCCGGTCAAGGTGGTCCCAGTGGTGATCGGCACACTGGGTGCAGTGCCTCAAGACCTTGCCCTGCACTTAAACACAATTGGCGCTGAGAAGAATACCACCTGCCAGATGCAAAAGGCCACCTTACTGGGATCTGCAGGCATTATTCACCGATAAATTTATTTATTATTTATTTATGTATTTACTTTGCTTATATACCGCTGTATCTCAAGCCCGAAGGCGACTCACGGCGGTTCACAAACAGTAAAAACAGTAGAAACAGCAGTGGTTCCATACAACATATAACAATTGACTTAACACATTATCCATAAATTACCAATAAGCAATTACAATGCACAATTATTACGAAAAACAACCGTACCCAATCTTCTCATCATCCAAGCGTAGTCCAGGTTCGTCGTCCATTGTTCCATTCCTATGTTCCATTACCAGATTGCACTAAATTACTCAAACGCCTGCACAAACATCCAGGTCTTCACCTTTTTGCGGAATACCATTAGAGATGGTGCTAGTCTAATGTCCGTAGGAAGGGCGTTCCACAGCCGAGGAGCCACCACCGAGAAGGCCCTATCTCTCGTCCCCACCAGCTGAGCTTGAGAAGCAGGCGGGATCGAGAGCAGGGTCTCCCCGGAAGATCTCAAAGTCCTGGTGGGTTCATAGGCAGAGATGCGGTCAGATAGGTAGCTTGGGCCGGAACCGTTTAGGGCTTTAAAGGCCAACGCCAGCACTTTGAATTCAGCCCGGTAGCAGATCGGTAGCCAGTGGAGTTGGCACAACAGGGGGGTTGTATGCTCCCTGCGCTCCGCTCCTGTTAAAATCATGGCTGCCGAGCGTTGGACTAGTTGGAGCTTCCGAGCTGTCTTCAAAGGCAACCCCACGTAGAGAGCGTTGCAGTAGTCTAAACGGGATGTAACCAGAGCGTGGACTACCGTGGCCAAGTCAGACTTCCCAAGGTACGGGCGCAGCTGGCGCATGGTGATCCCAGTGGTGATCAGCACACTGGGTGCAGTGCCTAAAGACCTTGGCCAACACTTAAAAACAATTGTCACTGACAAAATTACCATCTGTCAGATGCAAAAGGCCACCCTACTGGGATCTGCAAACATTATTCACCAATACATCACACAGTCCTAGACACTTGGGAAGTGTCCGACATGTGATCTAATTCAACAGCCAGCAGAGTGTCTGCTGTGGATTCATCTTGTGGTGCTTCAAATAATAATAATAATAATAATAATAATAATAATAATAATAATAATAATAATAACAACTACTAGTACTAGTACTACTACTACAGCAATAGGCTAGATTTATTTATTTTATTTATTTCCAGTATTTATAGTCTGTCCTTTTCACCCTGCAGGGGACTCAGGGTGGATTACAATGTACATATGCATGGCAAACATTCAATGACATAGGCACACAACATATATAGAGAGACACACAGAGGCTATTTACTTTCCAGCTTTTGATGAGGGTTTTCTGGCCACCAGGGGAGGTGTTGCTTCACTGTCCATTTGTGACACTGATGAAGTACTTCCTCATTCTTTGCAGGCTTGCTGGAGATTTTTATGGCATCTTGAATTAGTTAAATTGGTGAAAGAAAACCGGTACAAGATGTTTTTACAGATCATGGAATCAAAGAGTTGGAAGAGACCTCCTGGGCCATCCAGTCAAACCCCATTCTGCCAAGAAGCAGGAATATTGCATTCAAATCACCCCTGACAGATGGCCATCCAGCCTCTGTTTAAAAGCTTCCAAAGAAGGAGCCTCCACCACACTCCGGGGCAGAGAGTTCCACTGCTGAACGGCTCTCACAGTCAGGAAGTTCTTCCTCATGTTCAGATGGAATCTCCTCTTGTAGTTTGAAGCCATTGTTCCATTGCGTCCTAGTCTCTCTCCAGGGAAGCAGAAAACAAGCTTGCTCCCTCCTCCTCCTGTGGCTTCCTCTCACATATTTATACATGGCTATCATGCCTCCTCTCAGCCTTCTCTTCTTCAGGCTAAACATGCCCAGCTCCTTAAGCCGCTCCTCATAGGGCTTGTTCTCCAGACCCTGGATCATTTGAGTCGCCCTCCTCTGGACACATTCCAGCTTGTCAATATCTCTCTTGAATTGTGGTGCCCAGAACTGGACACAGTATTCCAGGTGTGGTCTGATCAAGGCAGAATAGAGGGGTAGCATGAATTTCCTGGATCTAGACACTTTATTCCTATTTATGCAGGCCAAAATCCCATTGATTTTTTTTAGCTGTCGAATGACATTGTTGGCTCATGTTTAACTTGTTGTCCACGAGGACTCCAAGATCTTTTTACAGATGGTACATGACCCCACAAAAATTAGGCTTAATGCATTAAATAAATGAACAATAAATGTTGGAAATGTGAAAATCAAGTAGGAACATTTTAACATGCATGGTGGACATGTACCAAAGTAAAAATGAACTGGAAAACAATACAGGAAACATGTGAAAAAATACTTCAAACAAAAATACAGATGAAACCAGAATACTTACTACTAGGAATATTTGACGTTGGTTTTATTGTTATTGTTATTATTTCAATGGCAGAAATGGTGCCAACCTCAATTGGGGCCATTGGTCAGTCTGCTGCAGGGTTGAGGTGGACAGGAGCCAAATGGAAGAGAGAAATGAACCCCAGGCTCTTCTCTTCTCTCCTCTCCTCTTCTCTCCGGGCAGGGCTCCCGCTGTCCACCTCGGAGAAGCTCTTCCGCTTCCACGAGGAGGGTCTGTTGCTGTCCCTGCTGGCCAAGCTGGCCCTGGGGGGTGTCCTGGCCTTCGGTCTGGGCTTCTCCGAGTTCCTCCTGGTCTCCAAGACCTCCAGCCTGGCCCTCTCCATCTCCGGGATATTCAAGGTAGGCCTTCCCTGCCCTCAGACCCAGGGTTTCCTCCTCTTGGGGCGTCTGTGCAGACTTTGGGGTGTTCATGGGGAGGGGGAGCGGTTGCAAAAGGTGGGGAGCACCCTGGTGTCCCCGTAATGCCCCTTCCTTCCCCTCCCATCCTCCCAAACTGTGGTCCTGTTTGGAGAAAGATGGCTAGGCCTGGGCTTCCCCACTCCTTCTCTTCCTCTCCAGGAAGTCTGCGTCCTGCTGCTGGCCACCCACCTGATGGGCGACCGCCTGAGCCTCCTGAACTGGCTGGGCTTTGTGGTCTGCCTCCTGGGCATCACCCTCCACGTGGTCCTCAGGGCCCTGGGCACCAAAGGTAAGTCAGGCCGCATGGCCATCTGTTGGGGCTGCTTTGATGGGGGTAGGGCGAGATGCGGTCTCTTCCAACTCTGTGGTTCTATGGGCAGCCAGTGGTGACAGGTAGGGGCCACCTCCACTGTGCTCTTGTGCCTGACTGGCGGTCTGTTGGGTTTCATCCCTGGATGCCTACATTTTTATTTCATCCAAGTTTCTAGTCCTCAATGAGAAGCAAAACTAGAGTCAGGGCCAAGCTCAGGGATTCCTTCCCCCATATTCCCTGGGCATGTTTCTGAAGAGCTTTGCTGCTAGCCCGGGCATGGGCCAACTCAATCAGTGAGGATATCTGCAAAGAGGTAGCCTGCCGAGGTAGTTGGCAGCGGGAGCCAAGCCAAAGAGCTCCGGAGGGGCTTTGGCCTGACTGAGGGGCTCGCCTGTTAATGCAGAAGAGGAGGAGGAGGAGGAGGAGTGCCAGTACAGACAATATCAATTACGCACTACAATTAGACATACATCAAATTAAAAAATACACCCATGAGCAATAAAACAATCATTAAAACAATAAAACAGTCTCGTCCCTCGAATCACCGTTCCAGTCATTGAGGTGAGCGACAGAGTCCCAGAGTCGGACTCGACTGGACTTGATGTCAGGGGACAACCTTGACCTTGACCTTTAGGGTTATTTTGGAGCGTCAGAGGTCAGGTTCCCCAACGCGGTGCCCACTCTCTTCCTCTCCCTTTTCAGGCCAGAAGAGTCCCAAGCCTCCAAAAGAGCCGGACTTGGAGCTGCTGCTGCTGCGCCACCAGGACGGGGAGGAAGCAGCGGGCGAGGCCCCCCTTCAGCGCTGACCACCCCTCCCAACCCACCCTGAGGGTCTGCCTCCCTCCTTGATGGGTGGCCGGGCAACACGATGGGACAACGGGGGGCTCCCAACTGCAAGGGAGTCAGACCCAAGGAGGGGAGAGCTGTGACTGGCTAGGCTCTCAATGAGGTGGTCTTTTCGGCAGACGCTGGACAACGGAGAGTGTGGCCGCAGATGGATTGTGCTCCAGCTTGGATACGTTGAGCTGGATTTTGACAATGCCTTTCCAGAAGGGTGCCTCTCCTGGAATTCCTGGGGGTGCTGCTTTCGGGGCTGGAGCTGGAAGAAGCCAAGAGGCCCCCCAGGGAAGGTCCCACTCTTGGGGGTTCCCTTTGTCCTGCTCTGGCTCCTCCAAGGCACTCCCAAGTGGACATGGGGCCCTATGCCTCTGAGCCGCGGCCTCTGCAGGCCGGTGTGGCCCCTCCCTGGCCCGGACCCCCTGCCTCTGCACTCAGGGGAGTCCCCTCTCCCCATCTCAGAAAGGGCAGAGCAGATCCAAGAAGACAACAAGAGGCTTGTCCTGTCGCGCGCTGGTCCTGTGAATAATTGTCTTTAAGCAGGACGTGCGACTTTAGCCCAGCGGGAAGCCAGGGGCCCCCGAAGAGAAGTTCTCAGAGGTTTCCCACCACAAATGATCTTTAGATGGCTTGTGAAGTATAACAAAGTCCTTTATTAATGAACAATCAAACAGAAACTTCTCTTGTCTTCAGGAAAGATAAACAAGTGGTTCCAGGCTTCTATGCAACTGGTGGCTTCCTAATCTTGCCCACAAAGGACAGGCAACTGTCTTCAATAACTTCTTCTTTACTTTAAATGGAAAAATCCCCGTTTTAACTTCTCCCAGGCTGACTGTAATCTAATCCTTACTGATGTGGGCTCCACTACCGGGTCGAACTGCTTCTTGAGTACCGAGTGGACCTACCAGTAAAGGCTTAGATGTTCTCTAGCTGGAGATCTCCAAAATTCTTCAAAGCTTTAGGGGGTTTCCCTGGAAATCTTTAGAATCTTTGGAGGCTCTTAAGACTGTTCCCCCCTGGAAAGTCTTAAGGGTTGAAGCTTTTGTACAGGGGAAGCTTGCACACATCCTGTACATTACCACCTTGCACCTTAACAGCCTGGCTTCTACTAGCTAGCAGGAAACCTTTGGTGGGAGGAGTTCCCTCGCCCAGATTGCTTCATGTCTGCAAATCCTGTGTTTTCTGAGGGCCGCAGCAACACGTGGCTGGGTATAGCTAGTTGTAAATAAAAAGCTACAAAAACTATTCCACAAATCTCACATTCATTGTATTTTATGTCACATTCCTTCTCCTTTTAGATAGCTATATGTTCAGGCTTCTACTTTCTCTGATTCATAAATCCAGTAATTGAAACGTGCCCCCCAATTGCTATGAAAAAGGAAGAAACAGGCTGCAATCTTTGTTGGAGTTCATCAGAATTTCTCCTTGATCAGTATAGTCTTAGGGAGGAGGGAGGAGGCTTCCTTTCTGCTGCCCTGGAGAGAGACTAGGACGCAATGGAACAATGGCCTCAAAGGACAGGAAGGAGATTCCACCTGAACATGAGGAAGAACTTCCTGACTGTGAGAGCTGTTCAGCAGTGGAACTCTCTGCCTCAGAGTGTGGTGGAGGCTCCTTCTTTGGAAGTTTTGAAGCAGAAGCTGGAGGGCCATCTGTCGGGGGTGCTTTGAACGCAATTTCCATGCTTCTTGGCAGAATGGGGTTGGACTGGATGGCCCATGAGGTCTCTTCCAACTCTAGGATTCTATGATCATCTTTTTGTGCACCTCTACTCATTTGCAGATCTCCTTTTCCTTGTGTTGGGGTAACAGGTTCCCCGGAAGTCTGTCCGAACGCATCTCCCTCTACGTCCCACCTCGGAGTTTGAGATCCTCTGGGGAAGCCCTGCTCTCGGCCCCGCCTCTGTCACAAGTGAGGTTGGCGGGGACGAGGCGCAGGGCCTTCTCAGTGGTGGCCCCTCACCTATGGAATTCACTCCCCGGGGAAATTAGATCAGCGACATCCCTCCTTTCCTTCAGAAAGAAATTAAAAACATGGATGTGGGACCAGGCGTTTGGGCAATCTGGCAGATGAATAAAGGACTACGACAACTGATAGGAATAGACAATGTGGAATGAAGTATGGACTCTGAGTTGGCGAACGCTGTGCTTGAGATTGGCTATTGACTGTGATATATATATTGTTGTTTTAATTGTTTAACCGTTTCACTGCTGTTTTTATACATTTATTGTATTATTGTGTAGGCATTGAATTGTGCCATTTTGTAAGCCGCCCTGAGTCCCCCCTCGGGGGTTGAGAAGGGCGGGGTAGAAGTATACGAAATAAATAAATAAATAAATAAGTAGCCCTCAACCAACGACAACTCCCACGATCCCATAGCTCAGCGTCTTGGCACTGAAACTACTACTGGTTGTAGGAGAAGGAGGAGTGATGCTGAGTCAGAGCTGGATCAGCGTCAGCTGAAGCGTATTCATGATATCATTTTGGCACCTAGCGACACGGAAGATTTTGCAGGGTTTGGACCCGAGGATTTGGAGGAATTGGATTATTGGGGAGTAAAGCGAGTTGCCAGTGAGTCTGATAGTGATGAAGAAACTATGAGTAAACGGCTTAAAGATACAGCTGACAATTCCAGTTCAGATGAACTGGAAGCCAGTAATGGGGAAATGGAGGAGGAATTGGACTGGACTCAGGTTAGGGAAATTCAGGACATATGTACACAGCCCACGTCTAGTGACGAGTTTGAGGGATTCCAAGACACATGGTAGGCAGGTACATCTTGGCAGGATCCTGGTTTGGATCAACGCTGGCAGAGAGGGCGGAGTAACGAGCCAGCACTGAAGGAAATGACCCAGATGCTAGTGATGAGGATCAATCTAGCGATTGCTAATAAAATGGGGGTTCTGGGATGTGTAGCTTTGCAGAGGACAAAGCGTTGTATCGGGTGTCTTGTTCTGCCTAACCTCCATTTGGGTCCTGGGAATCCAGCTATCTTGTCTTCATGTACCTTGACTTCGGATTGGAACTACGTGAGTGACTTCGCCTTGCCCCTGTTTTTGGAACGTCTCTGGACCACGTCATCTGCCTGCCGGACTTTGTTTGTTGCCTGTCTCCATTATCGACCAAGGACTGTTTGACTCCGCTTTTGCCACTGTTTGTTTTTGCTCCAGCTTTTCTTTTTCCTGAGACTGAGTCCTGGGATAATCCGGGTTATCTCTGTTATTGTTTGCCTTCAGGAAGGTCCTTTTGTTTTGCTAAGTAGCATTGCTGTTTAAGTGCTGCTAGCTTGTTAAAGACTCATTAAAGAC